AAGCAGAATTAATGTGGAACAGATCTTTCCATTAGTGTGCATGTTACTGATTTATTCGATTTAAAAATGGTAATTAATTACTTTTTCTTGCCTGTTTCTATATAGATTGTTGTCCCACAAATGAGAAGGAATTGCAGTTAATTTTGGTGCTACTAAAACAACTGATGCTTTTGACGTCTTCACCTTGCAACATTATGCAGTTAATTTTTGCCGTAACAATGGGAGGCAATTGGAAATTAATTAATTTGGAAACAACCAGAAAAACAAATTATCTGCAATGGTATCCCTTCTAGAATTGGTTGGTTTGCTCATCACACTAGTAGACATTAGAACGCCACTTTCTACAATTAATTATGGTAAGAATAAATGAGTTGATCAATATTAATTACTCTTTATTAATCTGTTATGAAATTTCTGTTAACAATTAGCTATTGTCAACAGTCTAAATTGAGGTTAGTGTGCATCAATATCACTTGACAGTTTTTATTTTCCACAGAATAAATTGATATTTATCATTGATGTATGTATGGAGTTTATCTATGAAGTTTATCTATCTATGGATTTTCTTTTTAATCTTTTTCTGTTGTCTATGTCGTAAATTGACGTGTTATTTGACGTTAACCTATGTCGTGATCTATGGTTGTGATGTAAAATGGCGTAAAGTTGTTGTTTATTTATTTTTTAATTCAGCTATTTTACTTGCTTTTTGGTGCGTTTTTGTTTGTGTTTCTTAATTATAAGTGTAATTAATATATTTTTTTGTCCATTTCTGCAGGTTATACAATAAATGAGAGAATTAATGCTCAGTTTGGTTATACTGAAACATTCTATGTCTACATGGGTGTGGTCTTTCCGGGTTATATTCTTGATTTGCTGTTTCGTCTTCGCCTTGTAACATCATGCAGTTAATTTTTAACCCATGAGCTAGTGCAACTGGATATTTATTTGAATTCCACGGAAGTAAGAAATTTTCTGCTGCAGTATTTCTCCTGGAGTTGGTTTACTTTTCACACCTGTAAACTGTGGAATTTTACTTTCTATAATTAATTAAGGTGAGGATACTTGATGTAATTAATTTTAATTGCTCTTTATTAATCTGTTTGCCACCGTATCTGTTTCAGATCGACGTTGGAGAAGACAAAGATGACCCGGTAGTTGAAATAGTTCTTAATATTGCATGGTCTGTCTAGTAGAATTCATTAAGTTCGTTTTATTCAAATTAATTTTTTATTTTGCATGTTTTTCTGTAGTTTCTTGTAGTTTCTTATAGTTAATTTGATTTAATTTTTCTTTTGCATGATTATTTTTGTTCTTTTTATTTGAAGTAATTGTTGATTGTAGTCTTCTGTTTTTTTTTATATGTAGTAGTAGTTTTGTGTAGTGTAGTAGTAGCACTAACTCGTTTAGTAGTTGTAGTGTAGTCTAACATGTCTCTTGCTTACCTCTTCGCTTAGCTTACTGCATATTCTTACTAAATTGCTTTGCATTTACCCTACGAGTTCTACATGATTCAACGTTTCGTTATCGTGTGTGTTTCTTCTCACCCTTGTGGAATTAGGGAGGGCCTCCCCGAACGACTTCCCTTGGGCTTAGCTATTTAGTTGATCTTAAAAGTGTCTTATACACTTTTCGCGAGTCTACTCTAGCGTTACTTCCTTTCAGAC